TCTATCACGCTCCTCTCTCCTTATTTCAGGATTTCTTCTTGCATGTTCCCTTTGCATTTGATCACGAATGCGCTCTAAATTCCTATACTCAGGATTTCTTGCGCGAAGTTCTCTTTGATCCCTAGTGTTCCTACGTTGTTCATTATACCGTACCTCAGGATTTTTTCGACGAGATCTATGACCTCGATTTTTTCTTATTTGCTCTTCAGAGCGAATTTGGGGATATTGCCGCCTTGTTCTATGTTGAACGGTATTTGCAACTTGCTCAATACATTGAACCTCAGGGTCTTCACGCCGAGACCTATGACCTCGAGTATCTCTTATTTGCTCTTCTGAGCGAATTTGCGGATTTTCCCGCCTGGTTCTATGTAAATTTGTATTGATAATTTGTTCGGACAGACGTACATCGGAATCTAATCTACGATTAGCGTGACTTACAGTATTTTGTGACTGCTCACTATCTCTATATAAAGAGTTCGCACGAAGAACTCTCATACGTCTTCTATTCTGAAGACGACTTAGTAATATAGATTTTCTACTTAATCTAGGCATAATTAATTAATAATAAATGGATTAATATATAAAATACTTATGGATAATACTTATATAATTCAGTCCGTCCGGGTGTTAAAAGTTGGATCCTAGGTGCTGCTCTCTTTCACTGTTTCCTTGTAAGTCCTTGCTATGCTATTGCTCGTCACTGTACACTGTACTGTATAATACACTAAAATTAGTTTGAATTAAGCACTTTGCTTGTAAAGACATCTAGTGAAACTGAAACTACAAACACAGTGTACTGATATTTATTATACTCTTGCAACATGTTGGTACAGCTTACGTACTTTTGTATACCTATATATTATTTAGCTATTCACTAACATAAGAATACATAATATTTAGTTATATTTATATTTTAGAAATTAGTAGTTTATTTCATTGTATTGAAATTAAGTTCTCGGAAAATCCCTCCGTAAATTACTTTTGTTAAACGCTTTCTAAAACAGGGGGATCTATGGTACCTATTTTGAAGGGTCTACCCATGAAGGCTAAATTAACAATAACTTACATATAATTAAGTATGGTATACACATATGTAGAGCAGGTATGTAGATTTTCTTCTTTCTGTCTTAATATCTAAACCTTTCATAAGCTGCCAACGGCGCTAGGTAAAAATGTAATTTTCTTGAGTTTACAGTTCACTTCATGACCTTCATATTAAAATATGTCGCTTTTGATACTACATTACTAATATTTATTTCATGCAATTTTTTGTAGAAATATTTTTTTGCTCTATACAAAGTCCAGCACTCTAAGAAACTTTTTTAGCATTGTTGTCTGGTATATTTTATAATAAGTTCAACATGATGGCTGAGAAAATATACCTAACCACTGATTATCACCAAATATTAGAAGAAATATATGTCTATAGAAATCAATATCTATCACTTTAGGTGATGCAAACAACTCTTTGGTGAACAAAACTATACTCTGTTGCAACATGTTGCGAAAGTATAAAAATGTTGCGAATTCAACATTCATTACTCGATTATTATTTGGTATCTTATTAACTTATGTTATTGATCATAGATTTATTTTGTGTCAATACTATTTTTTTCTCCGAAATGTTAACTTTTATAAAAAGAAGCTATTTAACTCAAACATGGTATATGTGATATAAACTGAACCAAATGGGTTAGATTTAATATGTGGGGTATATGAGGTTGCTGTTGTAACAGAGGAGCGGAAAGTGTAGACCAATTTCATTCATATGCAGCGATATACATTATTTTTAAGAAAAACTGTCCATTTAATTTCATTAAATTATCAAATTGACGAAAAAAATTATACCATAAGTAGTACATGTGAGCTGGGAAAATCAAAGACCAGAAAATTCTTCCAAACCGTATATTAAAAAATGTTGATTAAACATCCATTATTAAATGATATCGTGATTAAATTACAATCAAATTTGGTATCTTCTTGACTTATATTAAAGGCCATAAACTTAGTCTCAGTTTTATTGCTTGAAGTGAGATATACATAAGTATGAATGTGATATTAACTCCACCAAAGTGGCTAAATTTTATATTATAAGCTTAGGTTAGCAAACGTCAACCAGAGAATCGGAATTCATTATATGAAGGTGTGAGGTTTAGACTTAGTATATACTAATTTCATTCTAATTCAGCGTCAAACCACATAATTTTTAAGAAATCTTTTCCACTTAATTTCGTTAAAATATCACGTTGATCAACCGGAACGGTGTAAAGTCAGGTGGAAAGACGGAAATCATATATACCTATATTGGGGATAGAGAAATATATTAATTTTGACATTGCTCAGCTATACTCGAGAACATATTTTAAAGCAATTTTATATATAAAAAAAAATATTAATACTCACTGACCGACATATTCGGCATAAAACTGGTTAGAATAACGAAAAGCATTATAAGTAGTATATGGAATTTGAGGGCAGTATTAACCCGATTTTATTAATTTTTTCCAATACCACATACTACTAACATGCCACAGACTAATAAAATGCTCCCACTGTTTCATTAAGGTACCTCACATACCATCACCAATCAAATGGAGTAAAGTCAGGCGAATGTTCGAAAATCCTGATATTAGTTACATGGGGGCTAAGGAAAATTTTCACCCGATTTGATCTTGTTATGAGTAAAACACGCTCTCTCATTTTCATTGAGATAACTCACATATGCGGTATAAAGTCACGCGGAAGTTCAAAAATATTTATATTAGATATATGAGGGCTACAAGAACTATTGATCCGATTCAACCCATTTTTGAAACAAAGACAAACTATTATCGATAATTTCATTTATTTATTCTATTATATGAATTTCAATTATATATCTTACACAATGGCCGATATTTACGGTAAAAAGTCAACTATATGTACTGGGGTTCACATATTTAGTACTTAGGGGCTTGAACAGTTTTGGTTCGATTTAGAGAATTTTTGGTCACAAGGTGGCATACTTTAAACGTATTATTCACGCAAAGTTTTACGCCGATATAATCATTGTTGCTTGATTTGCATAGTGGAAAGTGAAAGAATCAAGTGGTATTTAAAATGGTGTCATATGGAAAATAGGCGTGGTTTTAATCCGATTTCGCTATGACATAAAAACATGAAAAGAACGTTACGCACCGAATTTGGTTGAAATCGGTTAAGCAGATCTCAAGATATGGGTTTTCAGCGAAAAGTGGGCTGTGCCACGCCCGCTGTCTAATTTTGAACGTGGTTCCCATAAAGTCATCTCATACCATCCTTGAGATAAAATTTAATGTCTCTGGCGTGTTTAGTGCTTTTATCGCGCTTTTAGTAGTTTTTAACAGTACCGTTATATGGGGAGTGGGCGGAGTTGCCGATTTCAACTATTTTCACACCGTCAATAGAAGTGCTAAAAACATTTGCTTCTAGTGAATTTTGTTATTATAGCATTAGCGGTTTAGGAGATATGTACATTTAACCTATTAGAGGCGGGACCACGCCCACTTTTTAAAAAAAGTTTTAACTGCAGATGCCCCTCCCTAATGTGATCCTTTGTACCAAATAACAGTCTTGTATCTTATTGCGGAGCTTAGTATGGAAAGTTATTTGTTTTTGATTAATGGCGTTTTGTGGGCGTGGCAGTGGTCCGATTACGCCCATCTGCAATACCAACCGTCTCACGGTACCAAGAAACATGTCTACCAAGTTTCATGAAGATATCTCCATTTTTACTCAAGTTAGAGCTTGCACGAACGGACGGACGGACAGACAGTCACCCGGATTTCAACTCGTCTCTTCATCCTGATCATTTATATATATATAACCCTATATCTAACTCGATTAGTTTTAGGTGATACAAACAACCGTTAGGTGAACAAAACTATTATACTCTGTAGCAACAGGTTGCGAGAGTATAATAAATAATAGTTCAGTAAAAGGGAATATATTATATTTCAAATGGCATATAAATATTCCCAGTTTGGCATACATATTATATTCTCTTCAATATTCGCCGTTTGGTTATGTTAAGAGAGCGTATGTGTACAGACACCGCTGTTATAAAATCGAGAAATGTTATTTGTTTCTCCTGCGTGTGAGGTGAACTCCCCGATAAAATTTTACAAATGTTCGCTGTCGAACCTGCACCTTCTCATTCATCTAAGTTCTCTGGTTTAATCGCCTTGCACTTGAATATGACCCTGAAATAAACTATTCATCACATTCGCTAATCATGATTGGTAGTATGGACAAAGGATGTCAATATTGTCATGCTTTCAAATACAATAGTGAATCGGCCGGTTAAAGTTGCTCATCTGGAAAAATTTCACTTCCACCACTAAATCCACCACCAGAACCTTTGACAACACTATAAGCTGAAAACACATCTCAATCAAAGTTGTTTTTGTGGAAAATCCGTAAATGTCGGGTCCCCTAGTTAATATAAGATTTTTTGAAATTTTAAGTTAAACAAGTAAACCTACAACTTTGAAAAATGATATTCTAGTACAAAATTTTCCGCTCTGTAAACAAGTTTTCTTTCATAAAACCACTTCTTTAAAAGTTATTCGCAGTTAAAGTTATACCATACATCAAATGCACTGAGGCTCAGTAATTCAGTAACTGAGCATGCATACCAGAGAACTGCAGGAGTGCCTAATTTTCGCACTCAAAGTATATTACCCAGTAAAAAATCGGATTATCCAAAAATTAATCTTAGATCGCTCCTTTGCGAACAATGGATTACTCTACAAATCTTCGAGTCTCATGCATTTAATACTCCTTTTTAACATTACATGTCCTTGCAAGGGATCACTCCTTTTGAACTCCTAATGGGGAGCAAAGCAAGCATTTTTTTAAGCTCGTTTTGGCCTTCGAAACGAGAGCAGTGGGAGTGATCTTCTTTGTCTCAAGAAAGAATATAAAAAGAGTAATGCCTTTTATCTCTAGAAAGAGCACGAAAAGAGTAATATTGTTTGTCTTTTTTTAAATATTTTATTTTTATTTTTAAAATAAAAGAATTAGTAATTCACTTCATAAATATAGTTATAATAATTAAAAATAAAGTTAGTATTTGGTAGAGGTAATTTTAATATTTACGAGGAGTTCTTAGTCGGAGCAGATTTTAGTGAATAGGTCTTTCGATAAAAAGTTGCTTTACATTTTCGAAAGGCCAATTTAATCGATTTCTTAAAATTCCATATGATGTAAATTCCAAAAGATGAAAAAAGAGATAACATATGTATATTAGTTATTTAAGATATAAAATAAAAAACTCAGATCTTACCGAATATTAAAAAGTTAAGCAATCTGTATTTAATTATCGCTGTTTGGTTTTTCGAGCCATTCTTTTCAAGCTTGACTTAATCGAACATGGATTTTATATAGCAAATCTGGAAGATATTTAAAAGTACATTAAATGCTCCAAATCAATTTTCTCTTTACAAAATATTGATAAAATTGGTCGTACCACTTCGGATTCCGGTTTGGTTTAATCAGCTCTTCTGTTGAATTTAGCTCCAACAGGAAATTAATTGGAAAAATTTGCAAGCTGGGCTGGATAAGGTTTCTCCAAGCGTATCCCAAAATACTGTATGTTTGCACATAATTTCGTTTAACATTTCGTATTTGGTTGAGAGGCAATCAAGTTTACTTTCCACATTTTTTATCGCTTCACTTTTCACTAATCGCCGTCACTTAGCTTAGAATAAATATTAGAATATATTTTTTATAAATAATTACATTTGTTACTCTAATTAATCACTTTTTACCCATGTCATAACTGTATTTATTCGCGATACTTGATTCTGCCACGTTCATGCGTTGATTACAAAATTCAGACTAATTTTAAGAGACAAAATACGCGTTTATTGAAAAAAAAAGAATTTCACAATAATTAACAGTTAAGATTTACCGTTATGGTATACCCCTTTTTGATACTTTTTGGAGTAATAAGCAAAAATGCCTTTATATCTCACTTAATGATCGAAATGGATGAACAAGTCATTACTCCTTTATAACTCGATTTTGGTATTAATCCATATGTTTTTTACTGTGTTGCTTTAAAATCGGTAGCGATGGCCACTCCCACTCAAACACATGTACTTATATACTGCGAATATCTTCTCAAACAAATATGAGCGAAAGAAGCAACTGAGCACTTCGTGTATTTACTATTGCGTCGTAGTAGTGTGTCTTTTTCAAAATCTTCGTTTTTATTTTCACAGACTTGTGGCGGTCTTGCTTATCAAAAAATGTATAAGTAAAATGAAAACTCATGACAAGCAGACAGTACAACAAATACACATGATCACAATCCGGTGCACTTAAGTACATATGAATTTGTTTAAATGTTGAACGAATAGAGGACGACTAGAGACAGGGAGCATCTGTCAAATATTTAAATACACACTTTCTTATGGGCACAGTTATTTAGACAATAGCACGACTTCTCAGTAGCAGGCTTGCAGTTGTCGCCGACGAAAATTGGAAGTTTTAGTGTTGCCACTAATATGTGAAATGTAAAATTATTCAAAGCTCTAACAAGTCTAACGTTATTTTACCAACAGAAGCATAAAATTGCTCTGATATATCATTTGAAATAATAACTTAAAACAAAAAAGTCGACCTACTTTATTTTTTGCACAAAATATTTCACATAATATCACACAGAATATTTAAATTTCATTGAAGTGAAAAGTTTTAGACGGCAAGAATAAAATTGTGTATATCAGCTGTTTGATATGTCGCCGCCGTCTTCAAAATGTGCAAAAAGCTGCATTTAAGATGACATTTGCCGACAAGAAAATTTTGATGTCGTGCAATCGTTTTTGTTTTCAAAGCATTATTTTGTATTTTTTTCTTGTGTTTTAAAGTTTTGAGCGTTGTTTATTGAGAACTGCTTACATTTTGGTTGTGTTTTCCCCATTAAATTTTAATTTTCTTTGTTTTTAATTTAAAAAAGTAGGGAACCTCGAAATTCATTATAGGGTAGAAGATATATATTATACTTTTAGTTAGATAAGTAAGATTTAAAAATTGTATAAAAGGAAAAGAAACCCCATAATAAAATAAGCATGAATTAATTCTCACTCAATAGAAGGTCTTTATTTTCCCCCCACCAGTGGCAAGCTTTTAAAGATACTTTCTTGAGTTTAAACACACACTTATATGCAAATTTACTTAATGGATAAATGTTATATCAATATATATTATTAATACCTATACTTAGCTGACCATTCGTTCCGGATTGGTGGGGACAGTCCATGATTCCGAGTTAAGCGTCGCGGCCGTCCCGGGATTAGAAATTCAAAGAAAAAAAAAATTTCTCAATAAACGGAACAAAAATACAACAATGTAGATGGACCATTCCGTATGTTACATTTCTACACTTTACATTCGGTTTGAATCTATTGAATTCTGTAGTAGATTTTGGCGCGAACTTCAGCGTTGTTCACTGACAGCTCATTACTTTTATTCTACATTCAAAGTGAAACATGTGATAATTTTGTGAGTTTGAATCATAAATATTAACGAATAAGTATTACTTTGTGAAATATCAAAACGAAAGTGTCTTTTCAACGATAATTTGAAGAAAAATTATCTTTTTTCGAGAGTCCCATATGACGATTTCAACGTTCGTTGTGAAAAATGTATTGCAACTTATTCCGTTGCGGCAATTATATTGAAAATAATTTGAAGGACAAAGAAGCACAAAATAGCAGCAAATGCTTCTCTTCAAAATTCAATCATATCTAATTTTTTAATCGGAGAGAAACCAGATTTTAATCAATCGACGATGGAAGGCGTACCAAACAATTGATGAAAATCACAGTTTCAGGTTAGTTAGTGAAAAACTCATTTAAAAAACAGCAGTTATTGTCCGATTTAAACTTTTTTATTGTAGATTAAACGACTGAGCAACAAAAAAAAATCGAACCTGTTTCCAAATGAAAAAAATTTCTTGTTCAAAAGCAAAAAGCTATAAAAACCAATATTTTTGTACCATTGGAATGCCTCAAGTCTGATTTACAGAAATCCAGATTCATTTGTTTGTCGACCGACGCTACCATGTTGTTTCCTGTCGTCATTCGTTGTTTTCTTCCATTATCTGGAGTGAATGTTAAAAAAATTGAACTTACACAAGAAAAAGGTGAAACGTCAGATATGATTTTTCGTTGATTAAGAGAGTCTTTGAAAATTGAAAAATAAATTGATCGCTTACTGTGGTGGCAATGCACCAATTCATTTCGTTCGCGTTGATCGGAAAAGTGACGGAAATGTTTTTGCAAAATTAAAGAAATTAAAATCGAACATCGTTGGTGTAGGTTGTGCAGCGCATATCGTGCATAATGCGATTCGTAATGTAATGCACTAGAGAGTATTATTCAGATTAACACATATTTCTACATCATTAAAGTCAATCTGAGAGATTTCTGAAGACGAATACGATCAACTGGCTGGTTACTGCAAAGCTCGGTTCATTGGCTTTCTTCACCCCTCAAAAAAGTCAGATATATCCGCCATTTTTTCAGTAATCCACTATCGAAGCTCTGGTTCATTTTTGTTCATAAGCAGGTGAAAATATATAATATTTATATTACAATAACTGAAATTTTTTCCCAAATCGAGAAATTGTTTAATTATTATCTTATTAATTTTAAGCCATGATCTTCGAAGAAACAATAAAGAAAATTAAAGGCGATGATATTCCAGCAGTTGCAATTTACAAATCCTTGCAGCATTTAACGAACAATTTACAAACATCCAACCAACACAATTACTTTCCGTTGAGAGTAAAAGCGGAAATGGGGAACCTGAAGAAAGAAAACTATGACTTTCAATTTTTGTTTTCTTATTTTTAATTGTTTTCAATATGTCAATAAGGTAATTGCTATGAATATCTTGAAGCATGGACTCAACAGGTTGCTTATGTAAAACTATTTGGTTGGGTGCTCATTGATAAACTCGAATTGGAAAAAATTGAGAAAACGTTTATTTTCCTCACAGAAAATAATATTTTAAAAACATCAGACATTACTTCACATAAACTTTTCGAAAAATTCACTTATATTTCTCAGTATATAGGTGACAAACGAATTGATGAATGGCAATCGTTGTGTTTAATGTTTTACTTTTCTGTTGAAGCAAAACATACCATTGGTTGAGCTTTCAAAGATCGTTGAATATGCATATATGAAACGCATATTTTTCATTATTAACAGAATGTGAACATACAAAAACTCGCCTACAAGTCAGCACCGTGAAATCGATTTTATTTGTGAAGAATAATTTAAAATTTTCTTGTTTACCCCGCACCCCGAACTTCTTCGAAAATTCAGTCAACAAGAGAAATACGTCAGACCGATGACGTCTTCAACAATTCCGAAAACATCGTCTATTTCATTAACTGAAATACAAACGATCGAATCAGACAGTCATTGAATCTTTTAATCATTTTTATACTCTCGCAACTTGTTGCTACAGAGTATAATAGTTTTGTTCACCTAACGGGTGTTTGTATCACTTAAAACTAATCGAGTTAGATATAGGGTTATGTATATATAAATGATCAGGATGAAGAGGCGAGTTGAAATCCGGGCGACTGTCTGTCTGTCCGTCTGTGCAAGCTGTAACTTGAGTGAAAATTGAGATATCTTTATGAAACTTGGTACACATATTTCTTGGTACCGTAAGACGATTGGTATTGCAGATGGGCGTAATCGAACCACTGCCACGCCCACAAAACGCCATTAATCAAAAACAAATAAATTGCCATAACTAAGCTTCACAATAAGATATAAGACTCTTATTTGGTACACAGCATCACATTAGGAAGGGGATCTGCAGTTTAAATTTTTGTTTAAAGTATGCCACCTTGTGACCAAAAATTATCTAAATTGAATCAAAACTGTTCAAGCCCCTAGGTCCTGAATATAAAATATCGGTCAACATTGAACAAGGCGGCAAGATCCATAAAGAAATCTAAAACAAGTATATCATTTGACTTTGCGAGAGTATAAAATGTTCGGTTACGTCTGAACTTAGCTCTTCCTTACTTGTTATTATTACTTTGCTTTCTCTTTAAACAATCCCATTCTTTTTGAATAAAATTGTGTAGCTCTCTCACCTATTATAAGTCGCGATTTTCAGTGAACTATAATATGGAAAAAATCGGTGAATCGGTGAAAAACCGTCCCGGATTTTACCGGAAAAATGTGATCCCCTGTACCTATGGGCTGTGCCACGCCCACTGACTAATTTTGAACGCGGTTCCTATAAAGCCAATTTATACCATCTCAGAGATAAAACTTAATGTCTCTGGCGTGTTTAGTGCTTGATTTATCGCGCTTTTAGTAGTTTTTAACAGTACCGTTATATGGGGAGTGGGCGGAGTTGCCACCCGATTTCAACTATTTTCACACCGTCAATAGAAGTGCTAAAAACATTTGCTTCTAGTGAATTTTGTTATTATAGCATGAGCGGTTTAGGAGATATGCACATTAAACCTATTAGAGGCGGGACCACGCCCACTTTGTAAACAAAAGTTTTAACTGCAGATGCCCCTCCCTAATGTGATCCTGTGTACCAAATAACAGTCTTGTATCTTATTGCGGAGCTTATTTATGGCAATTTATTTGTTTTTGATTAATGGCGTTTTGTTGGCGTGGCAGTGTCCGATTACGCCCATCTGCAATACCAACCGTCTCACGGTACCAAGAAGCATGTCTACCAAGTTTCATAAAGATATCTAAATTTTTACTCAAGTTAGAGCTTGCACGGACGGACGGACAGACAATCACCCGGATTTCAACTCGTCTCTTCATCCTGATCATTTATATATATATAACCCTATATCTAACTCGATTAGTTTTAGGTGATACAAACAACCGTTAGGTGAACAAAACTATTATACTCTGTAGCAACAGGTTGCGAGAATATAAAATGTACAAACATATTGCAAGACCGACCGACGTTGTCCTATCCCACGTCTTAAATGTAAACTTTTTGAAATTGGCTATAACAATTAGAAACTTAATACAATATCTAACGTCATTCATATATATTTATCACAATTCGACCAACGGAAACGTGTAAATATGTGTATGTGTATACTTTCAGAGAAGTTAAATAAAAAGGTTGAATCTTAAACTACTCTATAATGGATATTTATTCTTAGAGTTAATTAAAAATTTAACTATCGTAATGCCATAGGATGCACAATATTTTTGCTTAATCCTTGAGAGGTATAAACAAATAAATTCGATGGTTTTCCTACTCTCGAACACACACCGTATAATTGGCCGTGAAAAAAGCACGGATTTTCTAAATCTAATCCACAAATCGTCATTGTTTGACCTTGTGCCTTAAATGCCAAGCGGATGGGAAATTGTAAATGTTTAAATGGAATCGGTGATTCTGAAGGAATCATTGGAATCCGTGGTAGAAGTAAAACTTCACCTTGAAATTTTTCACTCAATATAGTGGCTTCAAGAATGTTGTCCATGATTGTTTTTATGACTAATCGCGTGCCATTACACAATTTTGGCGCATTGAAATTTCTAAGCAAAATCTGGATCAACAACAGTGTCAAT